AGGGGTATCGAATAATATCCAAGGAGCCTGATCTATGATAGAGTACAGTTGGAAATATCATCAGGAAGCAATCATCCTGATGATATCATCCGAGCATGCTGGTGCTAACCTTCCAAGACCTGGTCGTCCAAGGAAACTAACAGACGGTAATGCAAGGTGGATTAACAGAAAGGTACAGAAGAACCCGTTTGTTGCTCGTGGTGAAATTAATAGCGACCTAGAGGAATCTTGGATTGATGTTGAAGAAAAGGACTCAATCAGCAGAGCTCTAAATCGTACTAGTAATATAAATTAAATTTTGGTGACGATTTTGTCTATTTTCGCTAGTGTCGAAATGATTGCAAGAGACGTGGCAAATTTTGCTCGCATTGAAAAAGAGGATTGTGGATTTTAACAAGCCAAATTTCAATCAAATACCTACAACTTGACTTCCGGGCAAGATCACTTTTCTATCGAAGAGGAAGATTTTCTTGCATTTCAAACGAGGATTTCAAACACTATGGAGCCCAGCTTACGCCACCCCATGTAAAATTGACCAAAACTAATGCATATTAAGCCATAAATTTTATGATAAAGTTTAGTTTTTTGATCTTGGAGCAAATCCAGCCTCCAGGAGGATGTTAGAGCCAGCAACGAACTGGGAGCCTAGGTCAGAAATGCAATATTCACGCAGGCCAAACTGAAAACAATGCAATTGAAATGATCTGCATATTTCAATAATAGATAATCTAGGTATACTGGAAGATTAATTGGGACCTCATGGGAAGGGACCTCATGCAAGTGGGGCATGAATGTATTACCTTGGTTCGCACCCAATTAACTCTAATGGAAATCAGGCCAATGTAGTCCATGAACCGATATCTAAAATAGATCGCAAGTGGATTAATCCGGATCCGGACAGCATAAACACAATTTTTCAGTAAAATTTTAATTCACTGGCTTTCATTGATTAGTGGCTTCGGTCATCAAGTTTGGAATACATTCTGAATGATTAAAGTTCCGCGTCTGCTGGATTAGTATGGAAATAGCGAACGAATTTTGATTAAATTTTGTCACTACTGACGTCAATGAGCCCAATTTTTACAGAGACGGCATGAACCCGATTTTTCAGAACCACCGAAAAAAATTGTTACAGCTGAAAAAAAGTAGTGCAAAATTTTCTTAAAACGTAGCACGGGAAATAAGTTTTGGTTAAGTTAGAGATATTATTCCAGTTTTCGTTCATTTGGAAGACGCAGCCGTGCGCTACCAATTTTCTTCACCAATTAGCCCTGAATAGAACGCCTAGAAGCCTAGTCCGAATTATGCTTTTAACTTTTANATGTTAAATCAACAGTCTCGTTCAGTCAGTTCATATCAAGTAAGGTGACATTTTTATCCCAAAAATTCGCACATGAAGAAGCATTCTAAACAAGCTATTGAGTTGATATTAATACCTGACAGTGGATTTTACTTTACTAATTAATTGTGTATGTCTTTCTAGGACTTGGGGTAACAACTGACGATGGAGGTGGACTCTGAAACGTTTTCCTTTATAAAGAACCGGTGAATTTTCTGATATTTTCTTTTCTCTTAAACTCGCGATTATATGCTACTTCTCCACGCAACTTCTTCGCAACTTCTCCACGCGACAAAATTTCTTCTCGCTTCGAATCACCGACATGTGGAACAGCCTCCCCGATGACATCGTTGGCGCTCCAAGTANCTTGGAATGATTTTTGACGCCCCTCGCCTTAAGTTGTCTACAAAATTAAAGTTCTCAACGCCATTAAGGTTCTCAACACAATTAAGGTTCTCAACACAATTCCTAAGCTGGCGTCCTAATCTGAGCTGCATTCCAATTGATGGGATTCATAGTATACTCATAGTTGTAGTAGTATAATGGTGTCAGCATTGATTACGCCGTTAGACTTGTCACCAATTTCAACATCGCAGAATATCCACAGTGTGTTGCCGGTCTCAAACACCCAACCCTCTACTGTAATGTTTGCGTTGCTAAACGCTCGGTTACTTAAATTGTCACTACGTTATTAAATAAGTATCACTGCCGTTTGCAGGCATTCCCTTTTTATCGCTCATCCGATCTCTGAGAAGCATAGTCGGCCTGAAAATTGTCCGCGAGAGAACACGTATAATCTGATTTCAATAGCATATGGGTTGGATAGTTTTTATTGATGTAAAATATGATACAATTTCTGTGTTACATCGTGAAAAATTCAGAACAAGTTATCTTAACTCGTGCAAAAGTTTTTAAATAGAACTTTATATGTATTCCGAGCCGGGAATTAGCCCGCAGAAATAACAAGTGTATGACGTGATCACTTGTTGTTCGTTGACATAACTCAGTACTCACACCCAAGGCACCATGGAACCTTATGAAGTCTTAGTCAATCAGCCAGTAGTTATTGACAATGTAAGTACGTTAAGCAGATATATTTTAGGATGATTCGTCGACTGTTAACGATATTATCACATTTATGGAACACGCCAAGTTGACGCCAACGCAGTTAATGTCAAGGAGGCAGGAGATGCGAGACTGTTACTGTTAGAGAATCCTGAATCTGAGTGAATCACAATTAAGGAATGCAAAATTCTACTTTGTACAAGCAAAGCTAAAAAATGTAAAAATGAAACAATCTTACTATTTTCTAAAAATAATTTGACTGCCTAAAAAATATTTTTTCCTCTAATTGGGATTTTAAGGATATGTATTATGCAATTTTGGTTTAAGAAAACTGGGCACTGAAGTGGGCAGAACTCCGCAGAAGCCAGTTGCCTGTAGCCACACACATAATGGCCAGCCAGAGATTTTTTAGCCTTGGTTCATTTCCTTATATACTTGATATTTGAATCAATTTCTTATGTATGATAATCATAGTGAATTATTAATACCATCAAACAGGGACAGGGCAATGAATAACAAATAAGGGAACCAGTCTGTAGAGTATGGCCTTTTAGCTTGAGATATTGGCGTCTTTTAAAAATTGTTATCAGCCACCTCGACCTTACATTGGCGTCTTTTGAGGATCTTCATCAGCCATCTCGACCTTACATCGGCGTCCCGTCGCGGTCGGCGCGATCTGAAACATGGTGGCAACAACAGAACTTACGTAACGCATACGTTTTTTTTATAGTTTTTCATTTCTCGATGCGTCCTTAATGTGTCGGAATATACCGCGTTTACCCTACCATCAAACAGGGACAGGGCAATGAATAATAAATAAGGAAGAGCCAGGGTGCAGAATTTGCAAGTTGCATCACTTAAATATGGATTTTTAGCCTAAGATGTTGCGAGCCATTTTCAAGATGCGTTGCTGGGTAATTTCAGGGTAAATGTTAACAAGAAAATGCTGCTAACAATTTTGATAGTAGGCCCTATATCCCTTACTATCTCTGCTGCATGCAATGCAACACTTACTCATTGCAACTTTTTTCCAGAGAAGCTTCACTGCATCCTGATCCATCTAACATACTGGAAAAGTCTATAGTGGCAAACCAGTGATTTTTTAGAATCAGTTCATTTTTAATTTGCTCCTTTGAGTCCTTTACTCAAGATTTAAGCCAATATCTTATGTATGATGATGCTGGTATTCATCTTACTAACCTGGTCTACTTATACTGATAGGTCTTGAAATTGAACTAAAGGAGAGTCTAAAAAAACTTTCCGCTTTGCCACTATGCAGAAAACTTACCGTCAACCGGGGCAACTCGGGACTGGCGGGGCAACTCGGGACGCACCTCCGACACGGCGTAAAACTGTTATAGTAGCGAAACTAATTGGAATATTGCAAAACTAAATATAGTGGCGTAAACGTCAACATTTTTCCTATCTATGTAGTATAAAGGCAGTCGAAAAATACGACATTTACTAGCTTTGAAAAATTCCTGAAAAAAATGGTGAAAAACGCTGTTTTGAAAAGTTACTTCTGCTAAGGTCTGTAGCAAAAAAAATATTCGCCGTATTAAAAAATTTTACTTACATAAAAGTTGCATTAAAACCCATTAAATTGAATTAGGGTACATTAGATTTAATTAGGTTTCATTAGATTGCATTAGGTTACATTATGTTACATTAATTTAGATTGCATTAGGTTATGTTAGATTCTATTAGGTTTAATTATTTTGCAGAAGAGTACATTATATTGCATTAGGTTACATTACATTGCTTTAGAATGCAATAGATTGCGTTAGAAGGCAATAGATTGCATTAGAATGTAATAGATTGCGTTAGAATGCAATAGATCACATTGAAATGCAATAGATCACGTTGGAATGCAATAGATTGCATTAAAATGCAATAGATCATGTTGGAATGCAATAGATTGCATTGGAATGCAATAGATTGCGTTGAAATGCAATAGATTGCGTTGAAATGCAATAGATCACTTTGGAATGCAATAGAGTGCGTTGGAATGCAATAGATTGCAATGGAATGCAATAGATTGCGTAGGATGCAATAGATCGCGTTAGAACGCAATAGATCGTGTCAGAATGCAATAGATTGTGTTACATCACGTTAGAACGCAATAGATTGTGTTACATTGCAATAGAACGCAATAGATTGTTGTAGAATGCAATAGATAGTGTTAGAATGCTATAGCGTTAAAATGCAGAAGATAGCATTATAATGCAATAGATCGAATTGGGCGCGTCAGACGAATGCACATCATGATCGTATGCATAACGCATTAGGCACGCCAGATGTATGCACATTATGATTGTATGCATAATGCATTGGGCGGGTCAGATGTATGTACATTATGATCATATGCATAATGCATTGGGCGCGTCAGACGTATGCACATTATGATCATATGCATAACGCATGGGGCGCATCAGACGTATGCACAATATGATCATATGCATAATGCATTGGGCGCGTTAGACGTATGCACATTATGATCGTATGCATAATGCATGGGGCGCGTCAGACATATGCACATTATGATCATGTGACAGATACAAGCAATCAAACAAGCTGAAGATGCGTGCAGTGACGGCAGGGCTGATCGAGCAATCCATAATTTAAGATTGGCCATGGACGCCGATTTAAGGTCAAGGTGGCTTATGGAGAGCTTGAAAAGATGCCGATATCTCAACCTGAAAGGCCCTACTTTACATCCTGGCCTGCACCCTTTAGGGACATGTGGGGTAAATTTGGGCAGTCATCCCTCATTTTGCAGAAATGTTGTAGCAGCTAAACTGATTGAAATGTTGCAAAACTTGAAATAGTGGCATAATGTTGATAAAGTTCAACATTTTTCCTATCTATGTAGCATAAAGCAGGTTGAGAAATTATATATTTATTACCTCTAAAAAATCCCAGAAGAAAAGTGAAAAGTGAGATTTAAGTGTGAAAAGAGTACCATACATACTCCTGCTAAGATCTGTAGCAAAAAACAAAAAAAAAAAAAAAATTTACAATTTTTTAATCTAATCTTGAATTTTAATCTAAGAACTTGATTAAACTGGTTTGTGGTGCAAAACACAGCTGCTTTGAGCATTGTGGTCATGTCTGGCCACAATGATCAATGCTGGTTTAACATGCAAGCCTGGCAAGCCACAAGAAGTTTTGTGTCATATCTTTAATTTTATCTAAACAATAGCTAAATCTTTTTGCATCACATCAGAGGCAATTTAGTATACTATTATTACACATTGATTTTGTATTTATCAAACATAGTTATAATTTGGTTGATATTAGCAAAGTGTCTTGAAAGCAGATTTCAGTATTTGCTGTATTACTTAGCAACATACTGAAGTGACATGCAATTAATGCCCTAACTAATTTCACTGTTAAACTTTTATTGTAAAGCATTTAGAATGCTTGCTGTGCCACTTTATTTTTGAGAGGGAATCTTTTGTTTTCAACAATGTCATCTTAATTTTCTTTGTCACTGTAGGTTGAAAGTGCTAAAGTGTAAGTGTGTCAACTGAAAATTTTGTTTGCAGGGTTCTGGTGTCATTAAAGCTGGGTTCGCAGGTGACCAAGTTCCAAAATGCCATTTTCCAAACTAGTAAGTTTATGTGACATATATTCACAGTAGAACTTTTAACAATCTTTTATGTACCTACTTATTTTCAGTGCTTCTGAGGTCGGTAATTTTTTGAGTGATAACGTACGTATATTGATTTGTTGCTAGTACCGGTAGATATGATTCTAAGTTCCTCATCAGTGGATTAAAGTTTGATTTTTTTTGGTTATATGTATGAATAATATTATTGTTATTAATATAACACAAGTCAAATATTAGTAACTTTAGCTTATGCCAACCATTGCATGAAATTAGTTGAGAAAAAATTTTTTTAACAATCATAAAACTTCATTAATCCTTTGATCATTAATGAAATTGATCAGCGACCAAACTGTTGAGTATTTATATACCTACTTCAATACTTTTTTGTCCAAGCCTCAAGTCTCTATTTCTCTCTACGTGAATTGTAATTATAGACCGCACTTTGTCTGAACATTCAACTTTATGTCTGTAATTGATCCAAAACTTTTCCAGTATTGGTCGTCCAAAACATGTTCGTGTTATGGCTGGAGCTCTGGAGGGAGATCTTTTTGTGGGACCCAAGGCTGAGGAACATCGTGGTTTACTTTCAATAAGGTGAGAGTAAAGTTAGGGTCTAGGTTGGTTAACATTCAATTCGGTGAAGGCACGAAGAGAGTGTTTTTTTTTTAAATGTGGGAGATAGTGAATCTCGAGGCTAGTAAATTTTCAATGAGGAGAGAGTAAAGTGAGACTCCAGTTATGTTAACTTATAAGCTGGAAGTATAGCAAGGCTCAAAGTTGGTTAACTTTGATTTGGTAGTAGTATGATGGGGTTTGAAGATTTTTCTGGCTTGCTTTGATAAAACAGATCTTATTGTAATACTTTCATCAATCCAAAATTTAAAAAAATTGTCAAAACGTGCTGCAATGGCAGTTTTTTAGGGTAATTCATGGCATTTAAGACCATAACAAACTTAGTTTGTTGTTGTGCAACAATTCCTTTGGATAATTTTTGAATTGAAATATTTTTCTAGAAATAGATTATTTGTTTAAATTTTTTCAATTCAGCTACAATATGAACATCGCATAATTATTGCAAGTTGTAATAGATTTCTTTAATTAAATGATTTGCTGTACACTTTTATTAAAAAAAATTCTACATATCATATTTTTTATATCCCTCTGCAAGAAAACTTTATAACAATTCATTCTTGCCCAGGTACCCCATGGAACATGGCATTGTGACTGATTGGAACGACATGGAAAAAATATGGCAGTACATTTACAGTAAAGATCAGCTTCAAACTTTTTCAGAAGAGGTAATGGCATTGTGACTGATTGGAATGACATGGAAAAAATATGGCAGTACATTTACAGTAAAGATCAGCTTCAAACTTTTTCAGAAGAGGTAAGAGATCGATTGCTGCATTATATGCCTACATACCTATGTGTTACTTTGCTCTAATCAGTGCAAATACTTTATTTTATTTAGGAAATATTCATTAATTGTTTGATAATGTTCTTCTAATAGATGTTTTGAGATATAATTTGTCTTTTCCAGCATCCTGTGCTGCTGACAGAGGCGCCCCTCAACCCCCGCCGGAATAGAGAAAAGGCAGCCGAGATTTTCTTCGAGACCTTCAATGTGCCCGCTCTGTTTGTCAGCATGCAAGCAGTCCTCAGTCTGTACGTTTGTGGCAGTCGATGCTTAGCGACCAGTTAATGAGTCAGAATCTTAGTTGAATGCTGAAATTACGATAATACCTAAGATGATTAAGTTATCATCTTAGTGGAATGCTGTTGTTAGAATGTAGCATGAATTGGCTGCTCAATGTTGTTTAATAGTGTGATAAAGTAATCACAGCTGTATATCTGAGGTGTGATGTGTATTGCAGGTACGCTACTGGCCGCACCACAGGTGTGGTGTTGGATTGTGGTGATGGTGTCACGCACGCTGTACCCATCTACGAGGGCTTCGCTCTGCCTCATTCCATCATGCGATCAGATATTGCAGGCAGAGACGTCACTAGGTTTGTTTTATCTCTTGCTGGTCGAATAATTTCTGAGTACCGGGTATTGGACTTCCTTTCATTCATCAACGAAGAAATATTTTACATGCGCACGATCCTTACGTCATCTATAATATACAAATCCTGCATCTATAATACCTATGCATCTATAATTTGCCAAAATTACCTAGTAAGAACATGAATGTTTTCTATAGAAAGGTGGCGAAATAAATAGTGCGTTCTGATTTTTTGTTTCGAAAATCGTGCATTTTATTTCGTCATACGTGTGTAAAATATGGAATTCGTCACTGCAGTGCACTGAAAACCCACTTCTGAAAATCTTCTAATACTTATGGCAGTACATTGTTGGTACACTTTTGAGGAATATTAATCTGTGTCATACTTTAGATTACAAACACAATTGAATTCATTTGAGCTTAGACAACGTGTTGCAGGCAAAGTGGAATATATTAGTGGAGCGTGTAATATATGAGCTTGTGTTGGGCTTCAATGACCTTTGTATTCCTAATACAATTAAGTGTCCTGGCCACATTGATACTGAAAATATGAAGCAGTATTCCTAGAATGGTTGCCTGATTGCAGGTACCTGAAGCTGCTGTTGCGCAAGGAAGGACTTTGCCTCAACACGACGGCGGAGTTCGAGGTGGTGCGCTGCATGAAGGAGCGCGCCTGCTACCTCGCCGCCTGTGCCCAGCGAGAGGAGACTGCTGACAATGAGCGACTCAGCTACACCCTGCCTGACGGCTCCTCTGTCCAGGTCATTTTTTAATCTAAGATTTTATATGAAGAGTAAAACAGAGCTTCCTAGGGTCAATAGTTGAAACCAAATTCTAAAAATTTTTAAAACAAAGCAGCATTCATATGAATTTGTTTATTTCATTGCTTGAAACAAAGTTCCAGACATTTTTCTTATATTAAGCTGCCTTCATTTGAAATACAAATAGACATTTGTGCAGGTCAAACTTTCCACCAAGTCCTGGGAATTTTTTTCACCAAGCAGCATTTATGTTGAAGGAAAAATGATGCTTTGTGCAGGACTCAGGGCAATATCTAAAAAATATAACTCAGTACTCACTGCAGTGAGTGACAGAGAGCGCATTTTCTCGTCGACGGAACCGCATTTTCTCGTCGTCTTTTTTTCTACAATAAAGCTGCCTTCGTTTAAAACAAAACTGAGATTTGTGCTGATCAAACTTTGCAATAACTGGGGGGGAGGGAGGCAATTTTTTAGCAAAGCAGCTTATGTAAGATTATAAAATGGTGCATTGGTCCCATCAATACTTGAAACCAAGCTTGAACATTTTTTTTGGCAGAGTATGTTTAAGAGGAAAGATAACGAATCTGAAGTTGCTTTATATATTATCAGTATTGTGAAAAAAACATACCTTCATACCTTGGTACTGAATAAGCATTTGGGCTATGCTTACCCTTTTCATGATTTGTATTACTTCATTAGGAACAATGATGCATGCAATCTAATTGTTGCTCACGATAGTTGGCATATTCTTAATTTTAAATACAAACATTGTACAACTTTTTATCTTTTTTTAATAAGTGAACATTTTTGTAGATCGGCCCAGCCCGCTTCCGGGCGCCTGAAGTGCTGTTTAGACCTGACCTGGTGGGCAGCGAGTGCGAGGGCGCCCACGAGGTCTTGGTCATGGCCGTCCATAAGAGCGACCTGGACCTGCGCAGGCTACTCTTCCAGAACCTGGTCATCTCAGGTACTGCCGTGCTTCTTTTTATGGTCTATTTGTTCTTTATTAAGGGATCATTACTTCATATTTTGTAGAACTATCGACTCATATGCTATCTTCTCCGCTGGGCTAAAAATGAGACACTTCAAAATATTTTTGCAGGTTTCTGTCGAGATGTTGCTCAGCTGAGAATGATTCTTCTTCTCTGATTATAATTATTATTTGCTGTGTTTATCCATAATTGATAGTCATTATTATGTTTTTTTTACTTGCATTTTAGGATGTTAATGCCTGTACCGACGTTCATCTCAGTTACTTTCAGAGATAAATTAAATCAGATTACTGAATGATCTGGGTTTGAACTTGGTTAACCCTGTTGAGGGAAATCGAAAGGGAAAATAATATTGCTCTACTTACACTTTTGTCTTCAATTATTACTTCAAATTTACAAATTGTTGCGTATTAACGATCTTTACTTTTCGTTGCTTGATTTTTGTTTGACCGTTCCTATTATTTTTTCCTGTTTCGCATCAAAATAATTATTATGTATGAAGGCATGTCATTCGTAGTCTGAGGCTGCAGCATGTGAACGATTGCCCTACGATTGTCATTGCTTTCAAGCCCTTTTTAAAACGAAAGTCAATCGATTTACCCAAATTGAAGTAATTTATTGGAATATTTTTCGAAATTTCTCTAGTGACCGCATCGAATTTAAACAGATTGTACCAAAATATTTCCTAAGGTTTCGCGTCGTAAATTGTTTGTATGTAATTGCAGGTGGTTCCAGCTTGTTCAGAGGCTTCGGCGACCGCCTATTGACAGAAGTGAAGCGCGCCGCCCCCAAGGAAGTCAAAATCAGGATTTCGGCGCCTGCCGAGCGTCTCTACTCGACATGGATCGGTGGTAGCATCCTCGCCTCGCTCGACACCTTCAAGAGGATGTGGCTTAGCAAACGAGAGTATGAAGAAGATGGAGCAAGAGCTCTGCATAGAAAAACTTTCTAGACTTCCCTATGCTCGTCTCCATTATACTCCTCGTCTTTACTGAGAGTAGTTGGAAAATAGATAAGAAAAGGTCTCAAGTTTCTGAAGCATTTATGCTTGCCTCAAGTATTTTCTTGTTAAAAAAGTATACCAATACTAAAGATGGAAGACAATTTTGCTGGATCCACTCTAAATTGGCAACCGCCTTGGAAAGTGAATTTCTATTTTGCGGTTTCACGTGCGCTTTGAATATAAAAATTCTTGTTTATTTTAATATGAATGCAGTTAAATAATGCTTGATCAAATAACTTTTATTGAAGATTGCTTTATCTATGTGTTTTCACCGTCATTGATATTTGAAATCCAGTTACGGTAGATAACAAAAAAATTATGGGGAATGTGTAACTTATCTTAAATTTACACACACATGAATTTATTCCTTTCATTGAATATCCAAAGAAAACTTGGCAACCAGCTACCTTGGGGTGGGGGTTCACTTTTGTGTATCTGCTATTTAATTCAATATTCGTGTGATCGATACAATCGACCTAGTTAAGTTAAGCACCAATGTTGCTGCTAAGTTAATGTCGCTTGGACTTCTCGCTAATTTATATAAATCTAATATATCTTCTGGCTAACAAGCGTACTTGTCACGTCTTAACTTGCTCTCCTGTGAATTTCTCTCCTTTATGATTTTTCATTATTTTCCAACACAACATTTATCCATAATATTCGTTGTTTTTATGTCCGATTGAGAGAAATTTTTATTGAAAATGAGAATCTGTGGCCGAGTAAAAATTTAGCCGAAAAGAATCATTTTATCCGCGGTATTCCCTGAATATTCCTATCCTAAATTTGATGTTTTTAACAATGACACTATATATATATATGGATAACTTTGCTTCAGTCGACCATACGCCCATGGGTAGTAACGTCCATCGGTTGTAATGAGTTTGTGAAGATCTTAATCACACGTAAGTTCATTTCAATAAAAATAAATAAATTTCTTCATTGGAATGATCACGAATTTTAAGAGTCGTTCTTCTCCATGTGCATGATATTAATTTTTTTCGCATGATAACAGAATTTTTAGGGATATAATTTTCTTGAATATAATATTTACACTTGTTAACCCGCTTAAATTTTTATAATCAGAGCCAATCGGTGTTGGTTGAAGCCTTCAAATTATTTCCCATCTGAGCACCGTGATGCCAGCGTGAAATAATTCAGCGTTGATGTGCAGCTCATTTGTTGTCTCTTAACGTCGCTATTTTTGTCCGTTTTGTAAGCTCGTTTGTGATTAGATGGGTATTGCGTTTTTTAGAATATGTTTTGGTCGTAGCTCATTGGGGTTATTTAATTTATATTTCGAGGAAGTTAAGTTGTGATATACCAGTAAATGATTGTTTGAATTGAGCCATATATCTATGTCTATGACTGTGAAATTTGCACTATAGTTACTGGGGCATTTAATAGGAGATACTACACGGGGGAGTGAATAAATGTTGGTACACTTGTAGACAGAGAGTGAGCTTAGATTGAATTTGTTTACAAGCTTTCCGATTTTATGTGACTTTCACGCTAGGCAGCAATTTACACAATGTGCATTTTGTTTCTTTTCATTAAATAATCTGATAAAAGATCCAATTCAATATCTCACGCGCGGTGATGGTATACTTCAAGGTACTTGGGGCAATAATGTTTACAAATGCATAACATTTATAAGATGGAGACCTGAGATAACAGGCTTGCATTGACATGTTGTTTTCAGGAGTGTCATATATCTGCGTATAGCCTACTTCTTGTGATATTTTTTGAACAATTCTGATGCACAAAAGTTAAAGTTTAGAATGAATATCTAAAGCTTAAGAAATTTTTTCCTGCTTCTTGGTTTCATTAATCTTTATATTCGTTTCTCATCAACTGACCGTTATTGCATCAGTTTACCTTGCCTACTTTGCCTCATGATGATGTGTTCAAGCCAGCACATTCCCTCTGTTTATTTTGATTACTTTTGTCAGGTTTTACTTTAAATTACATTGACGCTTTCATGTGTCTGTGTCTGATCAAGTGCGTAGTTGGGCGTGCGTTCCCTGCAACATCTGGGACTTGAGGTAAAGCTTTTATTCTCTATATTGAACGCAATTTATGAGGCAAAAAAATTCTGATGAATATATGTTGAGTATAATAGTTGCAGATGATTTTGAATGTTTTGTTAGTAGTTATTTAGTATCTGAAATGAAATCTCACTTAACTTTCGAGTTTTTTGTTCTGTGTGAACTTTTGACTTTCATGCATGAAGTCATCATTTACTTGTAAAGCGCAGAAAGTTGATATCGATATGTTAATCAACACGCTGCTAAATGGCAGTCTGGTATTTACTATTACTGTGAACATCAATGCGAGTGTGTATCGTGTATAACCATAGCATAGCATATTCACCCACCAAAAATTGCCACCCACATACTTCGCTATCTCTTAGATCTCTTCTGTCTTGTGTTGTGTTTGTGGTTATCAAAAGAAAGATAGATATTCGCATGTTATGCACCTTTAAAATTCATTAGGTTTTGAGCTTAATCTGCTTATAAGTTCGTGGCACTTACAATTACCTTGAGGTTGTATATGTGACACTTCAAACATGAACAAAATGCTGCGTCATGTACAAGTGGTGGTTTATAGCGGACATAGGCTAATATTTTAGAGTCTTCTTTATACACCTGCCTTTTTGTCGGTGCACTATTTTGCCGAGTAAATTCATCGCACATTATTTGCAGCATATTAAACATGTATTTTGCGAGAAATTTCTGCCACAATGGGATTATTTATTGGGTTTATGAAATACCCAAGTGAAGTTGCACTGAAATTGGGTTTCACTCTACTTCGCTGCCCATCATTCCAATGTGAAGGTTGCAATTTTATTATAACCAATTATGTTACTCGACTAACTTAATAAAACATCTCACAATCAAGATTCTTTTTATTTAATTATGTGTTGTCAAAAAAGGCTGCTCTGCTCTGTATGTAATAGATTGCCAGCACATAACTACGGTTATGTGCAGCCGTTGGTTGCACGGATGCAATTTAAACCTGTATTGCGCGACAAAAATTACAATGCGACCGAGCTGAGCTTCACTGTACTCTCACCAAAGCGAGTTGGAGTTGGAATTTAGTGGCTACATGTATACTAGCGCTTCAGCTATATAGCTATCTCGCACCAGAAGTCGAGATGAAAAAAGGTGGAAGGCCTCAATTATCAAAAGTTCCTCAAATCAAAAATTGTTCATCACCCACAAGGGGTGGAACGTCTCAGATGTCCAGCCCGCTGAAGCTGGCTCGAAAGAAGCAGCGCTAGCATCTCAAAGAGACGAAGTGACAAGGAGGGACAGGTGAAAAGTAACAGAAACCAAGACACTCGACCAAGAGGTCGCTTACACGGGACATCGGCCGCCGCACGAGCAAGACGGAGAAGGGAAATGTAAGAAATCCTACCTACATAACAACTTGATCCCGCAACTGAGATCTGCAGTCAGACACCGCGAGCTCAGCGGTGGGGCGCTCAGGAACAATCCCCCTAGGAACGCGACATCCGTCAGAAGTCCCCCCTGAGGGGCCACCGAAGCGAACGACCATAGCGGTGATAGTGGGAGGATTGAAAATTCTGGTACCAACTTTAATGCATACTTTTAACCTAGAATAGAATAGAAGTGTCGGCACTGAAGAAATAGGCCCATGGCCTATTGCCGATTCTTGTACTTTTCGTGACTTGATTCACAAGGGATCCGGCCTTCGGTACCCGATCTTTCCATAACTGACGATTGATTGAGATAGCTGCTGAACTTATTGCCAGTCCGTAAATTGCTATGCATTTTTTAAAGACTGAACATATGCTCTTATATAGCTTTGTCTAGTCTGTTCTTGAAGGCGTTGGTTGAACCTAGGAATTGGTTCAGATTTGACGAAGTTAGGCCTGAGTAGTCCGTTAAAACTTGACGCTTAAGTATTTGGAAAAGAACGAGTCAAGCAGTAAAAATTCTGATAGCGCTATGTATAATGTCGCAGTGCGGATAATATATAAAAGGCTTAATAAAAAAACTCTGTTCTACAACACCAAATTCGATGGGGTATGTTTATCTTCAAACTTTATATGAATGCCATTTGAAGCTCAAGATGAATAAACATGGAAACTTAACTAAAATTAAAGGTTTTCTAATTATCACGCATTGACGGACCAGCAGGACCGTAGTTACGGCGAGTAGCGGGTGCAGGGTGGTATGACTGGTATCAACGGCCGAAATACCATAAATTCGGGCATAAATAGACCCAAAATAAAAAGTTTATTACGACATTTTCAAATATTTGAAGAAATATGGCTGCAATAAAGTATTATACAAAAACAATAGGGTCTTTCCCCGTTAAGGATTCTTTTTGTAAGTATTATTTTTCATTAGAATGGTTTGTCAAGCGTGATTTCTCTGTCATCAGTTGACAGTTCATATTAATGATAATATTTGCAATTGCTATTCAGTATTTGCTATTGCCATTTGGTATTTAAAATGAATACCATGTTGTAATAATATAACTATGTATGAAATAAAATACTTTTATACAAGACTGTTTTTAGGGTAAAATTAGTTATTTGGGGTAACATGTGCATGCAACCTTGTAATAAGTTCGTGGCTTGTAAATAGTTTGTCATTACTCAGCATAAATGGCTTTTCATTAAAAATTACCCGGCGACGCTTTGGGTTTTAAAATCCATATATTGCCGACGCTGCATCCACCCTCTGCATAGTGGTTTTCAACAATTGATTTGTTATTAGTTTTGAGATTTCAAATCAACATGATGAACATTCGTTGAGCGAAACAAATTTTTTCATTCTGCTTGATGAACTGCGTTTGGGCGATACTTTATTTCCGCGAAAATATTTTCCCTTCGAACCTTGGGTCATACCGAGGTGAAACGCAGTAAACAGACTTTAACAGAGGTTCGTTTTGCTTGTACTCCCTGATTTTAATGATAAATGAAATTTATTTATAATCTATCCCAAACATAACTGGCGACTTATGTGTTTATAATTTTGGGAGAAATGGCGAAGTTTGTGATGGTTATTTGCTTTAAGCGGACAAGCGGAAGAGTCAGAAGTAACCCGGACATGTCTTACATTTTATTATTGTCAGTTTGACTCGCGTAGTCAATATACTCACGTATATTGTCGACCAAAATTGTAGAACTATTTTAGCTTTCTAAAGTACGGCGCACGGCACATTTTTTTACCAGCATAGTACGGCACACCGCACAGGTCGTTAAAATGACAAAATAAATTCCCGCGCACCTGGCACATCTTCCTGACCATGGGGGAAAGCCAGGGTGCAGAATTTGCAAGTTGCATCACCAAAATATGGATTTTTAGCCTAAGATGTTGCGAGCCATTTTCAAGATGTGTTGCTGGGTAATTTCAGGGTAAATGTTAACCACTATGCAGAGGGTGGATGCAGCGTCGGCAATATATGGATTTTTAAGCCCAAAGCGTCGCCGGCCATTTCAAAGATGCGTCGCTGGGTAATTTTTAATGAAAAGCCATTTAAACTGAGTAATGACGAACTATTTACAAGCCACGAACTTATTACAAGGTTGCATGCACGTGTTACCCCAAATAACTAATTTTACCCTAAAACAGTCCAGTTGTACAGCAAGTGTCAACTGAACAAGTAATAAAGCAGTCTGACCGCTCTAATGCGACCGAAACTACGCAATCGAAAAAATGTTGTTTACATTTTTTGCGGGAACTCATCGCAACTGATTTCCGGACAAGCTTTGCTGCATCGTAATCCATCCAACGTACCGGAAACCTTACTTTTTTTCTAAATAGTTGGCTGAAGACTGAGAAATATATTAAATGCAAGAATTTCAATCTAAATGTGTCAGCAAGATCTTCTGAAGGCGAAAATTTTGCCGATAATGCGTCGCCGTAGGTCTTTAAATCCTCGTTCACTCTCTGCACAGTGGAATGTTAACAAGAAAATGCTGCTAACAATTTTGATAGTATATCCCTTACTCTCTCTGCTGCATGCATG